CACTTTCACAAGTTATTAACGTTTATAAATCATTAATATATGGCTAATTACATTAAGGTTCACAGATAATATTGGAATTAACATTTTCAATATTAATATCTCATCAAGTCATGGTTGTGCTTTTATGATTTTTCCCCAAAAATAAAAATCAAGATTTAATCATTTCATCTTGATAAAAAAAAAAAATATTGGTTTCTAATCATTGCTGTGGATAGGCATCATGGACTTTTGCGGAGAATCATGGGTAAGGTACAGAGTAGATTCTGGTAGGAAACATTGTAAGAAAAGTAACACGAGTCATGAGATAGAAATGAGAACACCATAAATACAACACCCTTCAGTCTTGCTATAATAATACATTTTTGCTGCATCATGAAATAAATCAGGAATCTGGTTTTGAGTGAAATAAGTATTTATAAATATATTTGTTAAGCATTTATAACATGTGAGTTAAAAATGGCTCACTATTTTGCAGGTATTGCATTAAAATCACCCTTTTACTCATGCATTTATAACTGCTTATCAATGATTTATAATGCATTTGTAAGTGAGTTATTAGTCATTTATTAACACCTTTATAAACCCTTTATAAAGGGAACCTTAATGTAAAGTGTTACCCTTAACTTTTTAAAACTTACTTAACATATTAAACGTTAACTTTTTTGATGTACTAAAAAAGTTACCATTAAATAAAATAAAAAAATATACCATCTTTATGTTGTTTGTACAGCTGTTTGAAGATTTAATGTGAAAATATATTTATGATTACAAAATCTAATGTTTGGTGCGATTAATTGTGATTAATTACCTAAAAAGTGTGATTTTTTTTTAAACATTTGACCATACTAATATACTGACCATATTAATACTGATCGTACAAATATATACAAATATAATCGCCATATAATTGTTATAAATATAAAAACACAACAACTTAAAAGCCCCAGTTTTTGTAATCGATTGATTTTTTTTATTTTTTTTATGTTATTAAATCAACATTTCTCTACTTATCTTTTATGTTTTTTTTTTTTCTTCTTTTTTTTTTTTGGAGAATCAGTTTTGTTTCTCAAATAAATTCATTTCAATTTAATGATGTTTTTACTGGAAATCAACAAAATTTCTGATTGCAAACATGATTTTTTGTTGTTGTTATGTTAGGATTCCTTGTGAGCAAACATTTTGAGCTGATTAAAAAGTTTGGCATCCTCTGTTTGTGTGTGTATCATCTGTTATCATCAAAGGCCAGACGAATCATTGGTGATTTCGGGATTCCAATCTCTATACTCATCTCCGTGCTGGTGGACTGCATCATCCCTGAGACATACACACAGGTAACCGCACTGTTAAACTGTCATGTGCAGTATGTATACTACCACAAAGAAGCTTGCTCTTCTTATTAAGCACTGGCCTGTAATTGGAGCCAGGTTTCTTCCGAGTCTGTATTACAGTGTGGTAGGTTTGGCAGAGCGCTGTAACCAATGAATCCTTGTGTTACGAGCGCTTGTGTTTTTGTGGTTGCAGAAGCTGAACGTCCCTTCTGGTTTCTCGGTCACATCTCCGGACAAACGGAGCTGGTTTATCAGCCCCTTTGGAGATAAACAGCCTTTCCCTGTTTGGATGATGGGGGCCTCAGTGATCCCGGCCCTGCTGGTTTTTATCCTCATATTCATGGAGACTCAAATCACCACGTGAGTAAGCTGACAGATCCTTCGAGAGACGTTCTGTCTAAGCTCAGATGGAAATGCAATACAATTACAATGCTTTTGTGGCTCATTGCATCAAGTTCGTCCTGTCTGCAGCTTGATAGTGAGCAAGAAGGAGCGGCATTTGGTCAAGGGTTCTGGCTTTCATCTGGACCTGCTTCTGATAGTGACTTTAGGAGCTATCTGCCCGCTCTTCGGTCTGCCCTGGCTGACTGCCGCCACTGTGCGCTCGGTGACTCACGTGAATGCACTGACAGTCATGAGCAAAGCCATTGCCCCCGGAGAGAAGCCCATGATCCAAGAAGTTAAAGAGCAGAGGGTGACAGGGATGTGTGTGTCTATCCTAGTGGGTAAGAAACACTAAAACACAATTGTGTAGAACCGTGTTAATTCACCTGTGACTACAAATTCTATATAAACTTCCTGTGATGCAAAGCTGAATTTTCAGCATCATTACTCCAGTCTTCAGTGTCATATGATCCTTCAAAAATCATTGTAATATGCTGACTTGCTGCTCAAAAAAAAATAAAAATAAAAAATAATCATATTTTTAATCCAGGATTGTTTGATAAATAAAAAGTTCAAAAGAACAGCATTTGTTTGAAATATATATTTTTGTAAACTCTTTACTGTCCTTTTTAATCAATTTAATCCTTGCTGAATAAAAGAAAAAAATCTTACTGACCTCAAACCAGTGTGTGCTGCATTCACTTTCAGTCAGTATCACTATAATCACAAGATTGTTATGATGTCAATGTTTATACCAGCAAAGATATTTCATGTTTGAGTTTGATGACAATATAATATTTAATCACATTAATTTACACATTAATTTAAATCACATTAACTGGGTAGCATCAGCTGTAAGGGAAAAGTCAGAGCTTGCAGTTGCAATTATGAATTTGACAGAAGTTTTTACTACTCCAAAAACCTGCAATTACAATGAACACACCAGAAATGTGTTGCGTTGCTTGATAATCGTGAACTTCCTACATTTAAAAAAAAAAAGTACTTAACATAGGTTGGCATACCATGATTTCACTATGGTTAAAGGGATAGTTCACCTAAAAATGAATAGTCTGTCATAATTTACTCACCCTCAAGTTGTTCAAAACCTGTTTGAGTTTCTTTCTGCTGCTTAACACAAAATAAGATATTTTTACCAATGTGGGTAACCAAACAGTTTTTGGTCCCCATTGACTTTCATAGTATTTTTTTATTTTCATACTTTGGAAGTCAGTAGAATATAATTCTTCTGTTGAACAGGTTCGGAACAACTTGAGGGTGGGTAAAAGACAGAATTGACATTTTTGGGTGAACTATCCCTTTAAGAGGGGGTTTTTGTACTCAGCCTCATGTTGTGCATAAGAACATGATAGTAAAACCATGGTCAACTTACTGTAATGCATTAACAACATCTGTTTTATATGTCAGACCACTCAAGTTTCCTAGTTGACATGAATATTTTTCAGAGAATACTATTCAATTAAATTAGGTAGAAAAACTTTCCTGATTCTGTCAATCGCATCACCTCTGTGCAGGGTTGTCTATAGTGATGACAGATGTGCTGCGTCATATTCCTCTGGCTGTGCTGTTTGGGATATTTCTGTACATGGGCGTCACGTCTCTTACTGGTATCCAGCTTTATGAGCGAATCACACTCATGGTCACACCTGCTAAACATCACCCTGACCACATCTATGTTACCAAGGTAAGCACTTTTTCCTGAGACTTTGAGGTAGTAGTGATGTTATTTACAAATGCAGTGCTGACAGCTTATTATATGTGTTTGTGTTTGATTTCCACACAGTAGATGCTACAAGTTTGTACTAAATTGACATCTGGATTCTGTTTGAAAGCTTTCGAAGCACCCACAAGGTGGTGCACAAATCACCATTTCATTTCGCACTTTTTAACACAACCCTAAAAATGAAAACTACTAACCACATTTGACAAATTTGAACACTGTGCATTGTTCAAAAGTCTGAGACTACATTGGAAATCAAGTATTGAAAATCTAATTTAAAATTTGAAATCAACAAAGTATTGAAACAAAGAAATCAAACAAATAGGAACTATTTGCACCATTTCTAGGAGACTTATGAAATAAGCAAAGTTGTGCCTGACAATATACAAAAATAATACATATTACATTTAAAAAAGGCAAAATAGAAGCTTTTCACTAGACCTTGTTATAATTCTAGGCATGATTTGTTTCACATACAGGTGAAGACATGGCGTATGAACATGTTCACCATCATTCAGTTGCTGTGTATCGCCCTGCTGTGGGTGGTGAAGTCGACAGTAGCCTCTCTGGCCTTTCCCTTCATCCTAATCATGACCGTACCTCTGCGTAGACTCATCCTGACCAGGATCTTTGAGGAGAGAGAGCTTGCAGCGGTGAGTTCATCAGTCAGCTGAGAAAATCCACCTGGTGTTGATTTCATTTTAAAATGTCGTTTTTGTTCTTGCAGTTGGATGCTGATGAGTATTCGCCCAATTTTGATGAAGATGGACGGGATGAGTACAACGAGATTCACATGCTTGTCTAGTCACACGGCTCGCCTCTTCTTCACTGACCAATCGAATGCAGGTCTCTGGATAATGGGAAAGATGTACGGAATGGGAAGAACTCCGATGCACTGCCCTCTTTCAGAATTATTTCACGTGTACTTTGAAATTTTCTAAACCTCCGTTCTAAAAAGAACCACAGATCATGTTCTGGATACTATTTTCCTTTTTCTCCGAAATGTGGCCTACATGTTTGTCTGCTGCTGCCCAGTGACCTTTGAATATGAGATTAGACACAACCCGTGCACCTTAGACCTCCCAAAGTGCAATGATGGTGAGACTAATCCAATAGGTTGGTTCTTACACCTCCTATTCACCCCATCCCAATGCACTGCACCCATGCAGTCCAGACCTACTGCCTGTAGATCTTAGTTGCCTTGTACTTTACTGTAGGCACTGACCACAGAGTCTGAATATTACAGTAGCATGACCTCTCAGTGCCCTTAGAGTGGTCGGTTCCTTTGCTGTGCTTGAAAACAGTAGTGCAGTCCCTTTAGACGTACTTTATGCAGTAGTGATATTATTTTGATCGATGTATGCAGTAGTTACAATACATTTAAAGGTGCTATAAGTGATTTTTAAAAACGGAATAGCATGCAGAAAATGTCCCTGCTTCCTGACAGATGTCACTCTCAGACTGTCAGTCATTTTGAATTCTTTGGCTTGTGGGGGTTAGCGAAACGGCTAACATTGCTTACAGCACCTTTAATAGGAAAAAAAAAAACATTACTTAGCTCATGATTTCCTTTCCAAACAGATTCACTGCTAAAAGTATATTTTATTTTATTTTATTTTATTTTATTATTTTCTTTCTTTCTTTCTTTCTTTCTTTTGTTTCCATCAGAAGTTGTTGTTTAGCTCTCAGTACATGATTTCATTCCAAACAAATTTGCATTCAAAGTGTATTTTATTTAAATTATTATAAATTTTTTTTTAATCAGTGAATTTATTTTTATTCATTATCATCTCATTTTGTTTTGGTTTATTTGCCTTGAAGATTCCCTTTTTTTTTTTTGAGCAGCTCAGCTTTTCTTGCTATATATAAATTTAGCATTTAGAATTTATATAGGTTTTAATGCCCAAATATGTTGCTGTTATAAATATTAGTGTGTTTGTGTGCGCATTTTCAATATTACCCTTTTCAAAGAACTAATTCCATTCCTTATGCTGTTATACTGCAGTGTATTCGGGAACAGTTCAACTGAAATAGGTTAAAGCCAATTAAACTTGGATTTGGTCGATTGCATAAATGCTAACAATGCTATTTCCAAAGGCTGTCAAACTGCCAGTGAGCGAGAGACTTTGGCTTCGATGAAACATGCTGCCAAATTGTTAGTTAGGTTCATGGAGAGTAGCGACAAACTTTAGCTATTTTAAAAGGAAGCACATGACCTTTTAAAATCTTTGCTAAGCCAACAAATCCATGTTTCCCTTGCCTTCAAAGGCGATGTGTATTAATATTTTCTATATTAAAAAATCTTTATTCCAAACCCAACTTCATATGCAACAACATTAAAAACATTGCTCTGTTTGAGCATCCTAATCAACCTGACAAGATCAGCCAATGAGTTGAGTTTGGGGCGGGACTAGCAGTTTGACCGGCCAATAGGAGATGTGGAGGAACTTTCAGGTAACCTGTTTGCAATTCCATTTGGAGAAAAAAAGAAATTACACACTTCACCTTTAACATCTTCATCTCTATCCCTTTGCGAACAAAACAGCCTCATACAGACCTGAAAACAGGACGAATCGTTCCATTACACTCATGTTTTGAGTTCGGACAATTACCTTTAGAGAAAGCTGCCCTTTGGACTGTAAATATCGTGCCGTCCATGCGTGTATTGAATTTGTTTATGCGTAATACAGACTCCTTGGCCTAGTCACGCTAGACTAGCTCATTTCATCACAAATACATATTCCACATGTGTTTCTTTTTGCTCATCGTTTCCCCAGTTTTTAGTGTGAAAACAAGAGGAAATTGTGCAATAAAGAAATATCTGTCTTGCAGTGCTGTGCTACTCTGAATAGATATGTTTAGTTTCTTGGAAAGCACAAGCCTAAGTGCTGCTCTCGAGCCTAAGAGCAGTAAGTGGAGATCTTTGGTTGTGAATGGCAGGTCTTTAAAGCACTTAATGTGAAGCCACACATCAGACGTGTTTTACCATGTAACCTTAGTTGAGCCATCGGATAGCTCTGTGCGAACGCCAAAAGGGTAGAACGTTGGTTTTTAATTTTTTCCCCTCAGCATTTATCAATTGGGATGCAGCTGAGAGATGAAATTGGATGAGAACAAGCTGGCTGTAATGCTTTAGAATCAGATTCCCAATGTTTGAAGACTTTGGCAGGCTCATCGCATGGTAAGCAACAGATCTTAGCTTCAGCAACAAATGTTAGCATCCCAAAGGCAAATGTCATTGCTTAGAAGTGGCTCTTTTCGTAGCTCAGGAGATTTGTTGGAGTTCTCAGTGAGGTTTCATGGAAAAATGGCAATTGGGTTTGACTTATATCTGATGAAACAGGATTTTTAATAAGACAAAATGAAGGGTCGTACTTGAATTTATTTAACATTTAATTGGATTGTGAAAAGTGAGTGTTAAATGCCCAAATGGTGACAGGTGATGAAGGGCGGGGCTAAAATATAAGAGCGCTTAATGATGTCAGCAGAAAACATAATTTTTGTCTGAATAATGTGCACCAAAGCCAGGATTGTTCATTAATGAAGTAAGTAGGATTAATTTTGAATTTGGTCTTGAAAAGAACTGATGGAAAATGTGGAGCAATTTTGGAGCATTTCCTCCATTTTTTCTCCATTTATTCTCATTGCCAATCATGCTTGAGAAAAGATAATATGAAGATATTCAATAAATATTCCGTATGATTTTTCTTCCCTGTTGGGTTGAAATGAAGCTCCTCTGGCACTTTTAGAGCTGTTGTCTGCTTGGGGTTACTAGTTTCTTATATATCTTGAAGATATTTGTTGCTTTATGGACGGTCTGAAGTTTATTGCACTGCCATTGCTGTTCAAACTGCCGTAACTTGATCTCTGCAGGCTTGCTTTGGTTTTTCTGAGTAAATACAATCTAAGCAACAGAAAGGAGCATAAAAGAAACAGAGAGACTTGTTTTTGGGTTTTGAATTTGTCAATCTTTATCTTCCACTGTGAATTAGCACTAAACGCTAAGTTGCACAGATCTGTCTATTGCACTATTTACATAATTGGTTTGATCCATGGATTGTGAACATACAGGCCCAACTTTGTAGCGGTGTCACATTTGAGAGCCCAAGCAGTGAAGTTTTGGATGCACCTTATTATAGTTGTTGGTTTTCGTACAATTTTTTGTCTTTAAGTCTTTGGAAGCCTTAAACCAATTTTGAGCTTGTCAGACTCTTTAGCACCTAGTTGATTGGTCGCCATCTTGGATTTTTAATCAATTGTGCTGCTCCTCTTACAAATTTCATCCAGTCATTTCATAGGCTACGTTCACACTGCAGCCTTAGTGCTCAATTCCGATTTTTTTTTCAGATCCGATTTTTTTTGTGTAGCTGTTCACATTGTTGTTTTAAATGTGGCCAATATCAGTTTTACATTGTGAACAGATCATGGTTCTGAACTGACCCGCATGCGCAAAAGAACAATACAAACAGGGTTTCCAGGTTTACACAACAGAATCCGCCCAATTGCTGCTCAATCAAAACTAGCTCAAAAACTAGCTCAACCATGTTCAGGGGGATAAATATCGCGTTAGTGGGGTCGCGTCGACCCACGAAGTTGAAAGACATCCCGCGGCAACAGTGGAAAAAGTAGCCAAATTCCGCGGGGAAACCGTAGATTTGGCAACACTTGCGCAGCGCGCTGTCATACGGAAGTAAACACTGAGGACATAAAGTAAGCGATTATGCGTTTATTTATAGTGTGATCTGCTGCTGAATCCGGCGAAATTATGTGCAGGCAATATGAAAAATAAAGACAAGGATGTAACAAAAAACAGCAGAGTTTTGAAGCTTTTTATGATACGAGCCCTCATGTTTTGTTTGTATATAGAGTTGCCACTGTAATTCTTATGAGTTCTGACACATTACACTTCCACTGATTACCTTTCGCAACTGTCTTGATAACTTTGGGTTTGTAAAATCATTGAAGTGTCTCCCGTCAGAGCGGAATTATGGCCCTGTCCCAAATGGCACCCTAAAACCTCGCGGTCTTCCTCTGAGTCCGCACTTTCATGACGTAATGCCACTTTGACTGTCGGGTAGAAGTCTGCTGCGGAGCTCGCCCCAGCAGTAGCCCCTCACTGCAGAACAAAGATCCAGGGGGCGGGGTTGGATCCACATCTAGGGGGTAGAGATGGTAGGTTTAGGGTTGGAGATGGGTAGGTTTAGGGGTGGAGATGGGTGGGTTTACAGATCAGGGGGTGGAGATGGGTAGGTTTAGGTATATGTAAGGTGGGAAGAGTTGGATCTGGATCCAACCTCGCCCCCTGGATCTTGTGTTCTGCAGTGACGCCCCAGTGCGGGCTCAGCAGAAGTGCGGATTGAGGGCGCATAACGGCCGCTAAGGGGGCACTCGCGAGCACACTTCTGAATGCTAAAATGACGATTGGGACACCCTACGGTCTCGTGGACTTAACGGACACGTAAGACCGCAAGTGCACATGAAGTGTTCCATTTGGGACAGGGCCTTAGACGAATGTCGATCTAGAGTGACGTAAAAGTCGCATGAAATCCGACATAACTGTTCACACTGCGGCCGCATTGCAAAACATCTGACATGTATCGGATAATTTTGGGGGCTACCATCCAGCTGATATAATATATACACTGTTGCTTAAAAGTTTGGGTTCAGTGAGTTGTTTTGATTTTTAATTTAAGTTTTGATTCTTTTATTCAGCAAGAACACCGTACATTGATCAAAAGTTACACGGGGGTTTCACAAAAATATTAAGCAGCACAACAGTTTTCAACATTGATCATAAAAAATGTTTATTAAGCACCAAAACGGCATATTAGGATGATTAAGATGTACACAAATAAGATGTACAAAAAAATTGATGAATAAGTGAACACTTACACAATATGTTGTACCCTGAATGCAATATAAGTTGCTTGGAATAAAGTGTCTCCCAAATGCATGTATGTAATCTAACAATATGGTCTTTAGGATACTTAAAAAAATTAAAATCATTGCAAATATATTGTGAGGCCTATAATAAAAAAAAAATACTTTGATTCATGATCTAGAGTGACGTAAAAGTCGCATGAAATCCGACATAACTGTTCACACTGCGGCCGCATTGCAAAACATCTGACATGTATCGGATAATTTAGTACCACATATGGAAGTGGCACAAATCGGAATTGAAAAGATCAGATTCCATGCGGTTTGTGCTGTTCACACTGTCATGACAAAAATAGATCCGAGTCAGGTGTGAGCAAAAAAAAATTGGATTTGGGCCGCATTTGCCTGCAGTGTGAAGGTAGCCTTAGATGATCTTCAGATCAAGTTACATGGGATAGTTCACCCAAAAATTGATGTTGTGATCATTAACTCACCCTCATGTCCTTCCAAACCTGTTTGACTTTATTTTGTGGGACATTTTGAGACGCAAAGGAAGTCAACGGC